TGAGAAAGACTTTCTTGTTAGCCTCATGCTGAAATCGTGTGACGACACAGTGTTTGTGGGAGATGTGCTAGTCAAAGGCTTGAGCAGAGCAGATCCACGAGATCGTTATCAGCGCTCAATGGTTGTTTTTTTATCTCGCTACTAATTCTAATACGTTGTCGAGAAAAAAACAAATAACTCTTGGTTTGCTATGGAAAAAAGGTGATGAATATGTGAATCCAGAAGCTGAAATATACTTCATGCAATGATGTCATTGAGTGAACTGTCTGTTTCTGAAGTTAAAAAGCCAAAATCTGTACTTTTAAGTAAGTGGCACAATGAATTTCCATGGATTTCGTACAATTCAGTGAATGGAAAAGCTATCTGTTAAGTATGATAGCTTTTCCATTCACATGATGTTAAGTGTAGAGATGCAGGAAGTAAGATGGTTATGGCAGCTGGTATAACAAACTTACAACACTTGAATTTTGTCCATCATGAACAGACTAGTGAACATAAAAGTGCAAATAGGACAAATGCAGACTCATATTGATAAATGTGCAGATCAGGTCAGTGAATGGGATCTTGTTGTGTTTTGGACTGTTTATACAGTAGCCAAAGAAGACATTTTGGACAGGAAATACCAGGCTTTTATGATGATACAAAAAGCCAATGCAATTTAATGTATAACACAGTCCTATATCAATTTACATCATAGTAGAATAACAAAGATTGAAACCTGCATGCATTTCTGATGTTTTCACACAGCAGCTTGAAAAGGATATGAATAATAGCCCTTTTATTTCATTGTTGATTGATGAGTCTACAGATGTAGCTGTATCAAAGAAACTGATAATCTTTGTTAAATTATTTAAACAGCAACTTGAAATACACTTCTGGGCAAATTTAACTATACCATCTTGCATGGAATGCAATTCTGATGACATCATGAAAATGATTTGTCAGTTTTTGGGAGAAAAAAAATTCCATTAACTAACATTTTAGGACTTGGCACAGATGGAGCAGCTATTATGACTGGCAGAATCAATGGTGTAGGTGTGCAACTCAAAAACAAAAGTCCATTACATACAGTGTATCACATTCACTGTATGGCTCATAAACTATTTGTGTGTGTGAGCCAAGCAGCAGAAGGCATTGAAGCATTTACTAGAGTACAAGATACAATTACAGTAATAGCTTATGTAGATGAATTAAAATATTTACACATCATTATGGGAGAGCTACAAGAAATGCAAAAGATACTGGAAGAGAAGGTTTTAACTTTAAAGTTACAGCATTCCATTTGATGGCTTTCACAAGGCTGTGCAGTTTATGTTCTATTTAAAAGTTATGATGCCCTTGTTTTAGTACTCACAAATCAATGTGAATCATCTGGGAAGAAAAAACGCCATGACAAGGCATTTGGAATTTTGAAAACAACAACTGATTATTCATTTATAGCTCTACTCTGTTTACTTTATGATGATCTGGAAATAATTGATAAACTCTCTCATGCTTTTCAGTCAAATGACTTAAATTTCACAAAAGTAATTGAAAGAGTTGAGACATCCAAACATAGACTCCAAATGATGAAAACTGTTTATGGTCCAAAGTTGAAAAGCTTCATTGCTGAAATTCAAAATAAGGAAGGATACTATCACGATATTAAATTACACATTTCATCATCAGCAAAGGAACTTTTTGAAAAAAATAAAGACAGATTTCTGAATATGTTAACTGATGATCTGAATGGTTTGATAGTTCTACAATGGCGCTCTTCAAAGCATTTGACTTAACTTTAAATGCAGCGTCATTGCCATCCCTGTCAACACATGATGATGCACTCAAAAAAATTATCTCAATATAATGTAAAGATGAACTCCAAGACATTTATTCTAACTCTTTACCACAAGAGAGTGGACTCAGAGAAGACTAGATTGGCATTAAGTTAAGTATCTTTGTGAAAAATATAATGGTATGAAGTTCCCTGACTTCAGCAAAATAATTTGTGAAGCTAGTCAACGGTGATGCCAGTGAACCTTTATACCTGGAATTTCAAAAATTGTTTATTATTGCCCATATATTGCCATTTTCCATAGCATCCTGTGAGCAGAGGTTTTCAACTCAAAACAGGAACAAGTGTGAGAGAAGAAATAGACTTCGTGACAAACATGTGGAAATTCTGAGTAATATATCATGCAAAGAACTGTCTTTTTACATGGAAGAAATTAAAGTGCAACATGAGTTTTTCAGAAGCTATAATTAAATTCAAGAGAAATTTTAAAAATTGAAGTCAAAAGTTAGCAAACATTTGGCATTCATTTTGACTTACTTAATATTTTCTTCATGCATTTTTTTATTTTTTCACTAAGCTGCAATTTAAACAGAAAACACAATTCCATACATTCAGACTTTACACCTGTAATCCCTTCAGATTGGGTAGTGAATGAGTTGCCTCCATAATCCTATAACTACATTAATTCTATTTAATGTAGCTATGTGCTATTGCTAAATTCTAATATGGGTAAAATACCCCTTCAAATTTTGGTGAATGGTATTTACTAGTGATGTAATGAATATTCAGTTACTATTCGGTATTCGGCTTATTTTTCACTGTTCGGCCGAATACCTAAAAACAGGAGTAAGAAATAACAAAAACACAGTAAATTAATCATTTTGGTATTTAGATTTAATGTTGTCGGGTTAGTGTTGTTTGTTTACATTTATTTATAACTTATAACATGCACAAAATAAAAAAAATAATAATAATAGTCATATGTACAGTCGACCCCCCTATAACGTACGTTCCTATAACGACAATTCCTATAACGTAGCGAAAAAATTGTAGAAACTTTCGTATAACGTACCTCCTGTAACATTGTTTCGCGACAAGATTGATAGAGTCTGGACCAATAGTGGATGAGCAGCCGAACTACTTACCTCCGACCCTGTGCCACGCTACGGAGCGGCTAAATTGAGTTTGCTATCGTCTGTTTAGTATTATATATAAATTATATATAAATTAGGTACTGTACATATAATTATATATTAATTATATATAAATTAGGTACTGTATATATAATTATATATTAACTTAATTTATTGTAACTTTATTATAATTATATATATGCTTTCTGCCGCCTGGCAACACGCTACGGAGATTTTAGGCTAGTAAGTTGAGTTTATTATCGTCTGTACAGTATGTAAATTAGGTACCGTAAGTCTAATACAGCACTAATTTTATACATTTCTTGTGAAAGAAACACTTCTTATTCAACGGCCATAAAAATTATTTATATTAATGATGTCTCCAAAGGTCAAGTTATTTTTCTGCCAAAAATTCGTTATCAGAAATTGCGGCCGTCGTTTCGTGTGCTGTTCCGCGATGAAAACCAGCTTTAAGCAACGGCGTAGTCGAACGGTACACACTCGGTAAGTAATCCTATAATTTTTTGTTTATAGCATAGTTTATACAGATTATTTTCAAAAAATTATACGTATTTTGGAAATGTTGAGTGGAATTAGTCTAGAATCGGTTAATTTTATACAAGAAAACCTTTCAAACAGCCTTAGTCCGTAAAGTTCCCACCTATCGGGCTGCGATTGGCTCATGTATTTAATCGTTCCTACAACATAATTTTCGGTTAGCGTGGAACGTATCGAAGCGTTATAGGCGGGGTCTACTGTATTCACAATTTATAATTACAAAGATCAGCACACGTACACCTATTCATTCGAGAATCGTCGCACACCTGTGAGGGTCTGACCCTGCCTATCTTTTTTAAGCACTTGTCTTTCCTCTATCCTTTCTTTTTCCTCCATATCTCTAGTCCACGTATGCCTATGCATACATCATAATATGCACTCACGATACTTTTGATTCGTCACTTTTCTGTCATAGTTTTTCCATTTTATAATTATGTGACTCATAGCCTGGTGATAATGGAGAAAAGAGACAGATAGGATGTCGGTATGTATCACAGTTATGATTTCACAGATTCCCGAACGGTCCCATGGTAGCCTGAATGGTAGCCTGAATTTTTGGATGTAGGACACCTTGAAATGTTAAGAATTCAAAAAAAAATTGGAGATTTTTTTTCTGTATGGATATTTGTGTGTGAGGATGCATGATTTTTGTTCACCCTCTTTCAGGTTTTTTTGTCAAAAATTTCTGAAATTTTTCAGGGAGGTTTGTGTATTAGGGGGATCAATGCTATTAAATTTTGGTGGTTAACGGTCGGAATGGGGTAGGTAATAGGGTCGTGTGTATCTCCAATATCCAGACTTAATGACAATTTTACTGGTTATTAGCATTTACAATTTTTTTATAAAAACATCCTTAGCATCAAAATTAGCATTATGATATTTTATACAGTAGACCCCCCTATAACGCTGGTTCCTATAATGCGGATTCCTACAACGCAAAATTCTTATAAAGCAGAACGTATCTACCGCATTATAAGGGGGTCTACTGTAATTTTTAACTATCATGTAACATTTGGTGGTGCATCTGTTATCATAGTTAAGCAACTCATTGCTGAACTTTTTATAAATCCTTTAAATCAATATCTGTAGTTATTCTATCCAGATTCTTTTCCAAATTCATTCAAAATAGTTTTATTCACAAATAATGGTTCTCATTGAATATTTCTTTTGGAGTTCTCTGTGGAGCATGGAAATATTTTTCTTTAGCCTTGGAATCAATTTAGATATCATGCTTAATTTTTTTCATATGCTTGGAGAATTCTTGCTTTACAATTTTGAAAGTAACTTGGCAATAAATTTCACATCTTCTGAAAGGAACTTGCCGTCAGACACACTTTCTAATTCGTTCAAAGTAGCTGTTGCAGGAGTGATATTATGTTCCATTTTTGTGAAACACCAATTTTAAGATTAAAATGGGAAATATAATTGCAAAGAAGTTGATTTCAGTTGTGGAAATATTCTTTCAAGTTTTTAAATTCTACTTTGTATTTTATTTTTAGTTAAAGAATATATTTAAATTTTTTTCATTCATTCAGTTGCCCATAGACCATAGTGGTGGGGAAGGAAAATGTCTGTACATAGACACGGAAGGAACTTTTCGACCGGAGCGTTTACTAGCCGTGGCTGACAGGTATTTCCGCGTTCATTTGATCATTGGACTTTGATTTTATTTTCCTCGACGATAAAAAATGTACGTAAAATTATTCTCAGGTATGGATTATCTGGTGGGGACGTTTTGGACAACGTTGCCTATGCGCGTGCCTACAACAGTGATCATCAGAGTCAGTTACTTCTACAGGCTTCTGCTATGATGGTGGAATCTAGGTAAGTAGATGGACGTTGCCAAATTTGATGTCAGTTTTAAGTTAATCAATGCTGTTTTATTTTATTCAGATACGCACTACTAATAGTCGACAGTGCGACCGCTCTGTACAGAACGGACTATTCCGGAAGAGGAGAACTGTCGGCACGACAGATGCACCTGGCAAGATTTATGCGGATGTTGCTTCACTTGGCCGACGTGGTGAGTCAATAACCAAAAATAATTTATTTTCGTAAACTTCTTTTTATTAAATTCTTTCTGATCATGCAGAGGTTCAAGGTACAAAATGCTTACCAATCTTTGAACATGAATATATTTGAGTTAAATACTGCTACATAAAAATACAACCCCACTCACAATGAACTTTGTTCATCAGTTAAACTTTCAAACATTTACATACATATTAAACAGGGTACTGTAAATAAATAAATTCATTCCAGACTAAATAAACTATCTGTTTCCTTTCCCTCTGCTCTGAAAGTGACGTTGACACATTAAATAAGCTAATCGGTGATGCAATGCATCACCGATTAGCTTATTTAATGTGTCTTTCAGGTAGTATTAGTTAATTAAAAGAGCAAGTTTCTGAGCAGGTTGGTTGATGATCTACCCAAAGGAAAAAAGTTTTTCTCAAACTGTGATTAGACAGGCACTCATGGACGATAGCAGACATCCTTAGCTGACTTGGTTTGATAAGTCTTTGCATTCAGTTGTATCTTCACTGTCACCCTTTGTGTTCAACACTAAAAGGTAGGATAGATATTAGGTACTCTGCATTTAGGAATTCTACCATTAGAACACAGCAATTAACATTGTAACAGTTTTCAAGAATTTAGGGAATGTTGTTGTATTTTTAATAAAATCAATTGCAACCCATCAGACACTTCTAGAATGGATGTTGTTTTGCAAATTAATTCCAGTTTAACTAACATGCTGATTCAACAACACGCAAGTGTGCAATGGGTGACAATTAATATTGATGACAATTTGTAACAGCAGGTCAGAGAAATATACTGTGGTTACAGCCAGTTAGGTAGTAAATGTATGGAAAAACACTAGCCCTGTATGGATAATACAGTGTATAGTGAGGAACCATGCTGCATCAACTGTGCAAATGCCAACAATATTTTACCTGATGGAACAAACATAAGACTAACCACAAAGCTTGCTGTTGACAGTGCCCCATTAATGTATGAAAACACAAGCAGCCATTAGGACTAGCTATGAATAATACACCCACTCACACTTGCTCCATTCTTGTCTACACTTCCACTACACAATGCCAATCATCATCATTCTTCAAGAACTCTACACCATTGACAAGATAGTCAAAAGTCAGGTTCAATGATTGGATGTTCTTAGCAGCCTTGATGCAATGAACAGGGTCCAGTGGTGGGATCATCATTAGAAACAAGAACATAACTATCTGCCTTGTCAGAGTAAAATTAATATTAATATTAAAGACTATAGTTTAGATATTTTATGTAACAAAGGATGAATCCAAATTGTGTAGCTCCAGTCACTCTTGGGATAGTTAGAACTCATAAGCTAAACACTCAATTTTCAGAAGCCTGTTTTTTGGAAACACTTGAGAAGCTGGTTTTATTATTTGGACAAGGATCTATTTGTGTTTAGGACTACATGCTCACCAAGTTTTGTTAGAATCAGAGACATGAACACCTGACAGTCTCCTTGTAAGTCTGTTACTTGGCATAGTCAATGAAATCATGGCCCAACATAACCTTTCCTCTCTAAACACAAGCATTCTTCTAAAGTATGCCTGTACTGTAAAAGAAAGTTGGATTGATTTAACATTAGAGGTGTAACAGTGTTAAACCCTAGGGGCTAAAGGTCTGTTATCCGACTTAGATTCTGCCAGTAACTTAGGTACAGTACATGTTCATAAATATTCTTACTTTTAGTAATACTTCTGCTGATAGTTACCATTATATATGCACTAACTGGCAGAACTTTTGTGACATTTTTAGTAACCTGGGCTGACAACCCCTCACTACAGTTACTACTGTCAGGAAACATTACACCATCTTGTCACTAGATTCACTGAAACAATCACTTATTCTGATGTCACTGCCTTCAAGCTCAAACAAAAGAACACACAAAAAGGTCCCTTGGTGTATTGCCAAACTTGACAAGAATAATCTAGTTTTATTTATTTGTCGAATCCATGTTTTGTTTGGTTCAATGTCACAACTTGGTGAATTTATTGACACTCAGCAAATAATTTAAAGTCATGACAATGAACCAAACAAAAAAAAGAATAAGGAGGCAGTTCAGAAGTGAACAGGACTCTGACATTAAGGCTTCACTAAGATAGTAGTACAGACACAAACACATTTATTAACAAAACCAGAACAAACGGGTGGAAGGACTACTGTACCAACACCTGTGGTCACAACCCTGGTCAAATCCTTACTACTTAGTTTTCAAGGAAAAATGCCAGCTCCCCTTCTGATGATCCATTTGAATACAATAATACTCATGTGGCCATCAGAAGTTTCTGACACACTCCTCCTACACCAACAGCCACAACTTCACTAACATTGAGGTTTGTAAGAATTGTTTGCTTATCAACAACAAAGCTCCAGGTTGTCAGTATAACCACTAGGATGATAAAACTTGCTTTCGAGGCCATTCCAACAGCATTTGTTATTTTCTTCAACATCTGTCTGAACACTATCTTTTTTCTACTCAGTGGAAAAGGATTAATATCAAACTTAGGAAGAAGGCAGATTGTCTGTTTTCCCAAACTAGACAGAGCAGTCTTATAATTAATAAGATCACTTGTCATCTATTGAAGAGTAGGGCCCTACACAAGAATCAGTTTACTGTACTTTTTGCTTTTAGAGAAGTCCGATGCCATTAAACAAGTTACTCATGACATTCGCCAGGTTAAGCAAAACAATGAACACACCACTGTAATCAGACTTGGTAGCCTTGGTCATGTAAGGTATAAGGTATGCATCACTATCCTCAAACTTTTTTGGTCCTCTTTTACTGACAGGAGTGAAGGTGTACAGTATAATGTAGTGTTGTCATTCCAATTATTTAGGGAGGTGTCTGCAGGGATCCAGATCTGGTACTGGACTCTAACATTGCCTATGACTATGACACTATTATTTTAGCTTTCTCACAGGGAACAGCAAACACTTACATGTGGAACAACATTGTTCCACTACCAAATTGTTTTGAAATTGTGCAAAAGCAGCCCATTAGCACAGACAATTGTGAAAGTATGATTTTTGGTAAGCACAANCAAGGAAAAATGCCAGCTCCCCTTCTGATGATCCATTTGAATACAATAATACTCATGTGGCCATCAGAAGTTTATGACACACTCCTCCTACACCAACAGCCACAACTTCTCTTACATTGAGGTTTGTAAGAATCTGTTTGCTTATCGACAACAAAGCTTCAGGTTGTCAGTATAACCACTAGGATGATAACAAATGCTGTTGGAATGGCCTTGAATGCACGTTTTATTTCCTTCAACATCTGTCTGAACACTATCTTTTTCCTACTCAGTGGAAAAGGATTAATATCAAACTTAGGAAGAAGGCAGATTGCTCTGTCTAGTTTGGGAAAACAGACAGTGTTATAATTAATAAGATCACTTGGCATCTATTGAAGTGTAGGGCCCTGCACGAGAATCAGTTTACTGTACATTTTGCTTTTAGAGAAGTCAGATGCCATTAAACAAGTCACTCATTACATCCACCAGGTTAAGCAAAACAATGAACACACCACTGTAATCAGACTTGGTAGCCTTGCATACCTTACACGACCATCACTATCCTCAAACTTTTTCGGTCCCCTTTTACTGACAGGAGTGAAGGTGTACAGCACAATGTAGTGTTGTCATTCCAATTATTTAGTGAGGTGTCTGCAGGGATCCAGATCTGGTCCTGGACTCTAGCATTGCCTATGACTATGACACTATAATTTTAGCTTTCTCACAGGGAACAGCAAACACTTAAATGTGGAACAACATTGTTCCACTACCAAATTGTTTTGAAATTGTGCAAAAGCAGCCCATTAGCACAGACAATTGTGAAAGTATGATTTTTGGTAAGCACAATCCTCTCATGAAACAGATGAAAGAAATTAAGCTACTCATCAAGAATAACACCTAAATACTTAACTTCACACCCTACACAAAGCTAAAAAGACAGCCAATGCCCTCATTTCCATGCACACTTGAGTTTTCAAAGTGCTGGGTCCTAAGCCCCATTTATAGAAAGGCCATTCAACCTGCTTTCCTTTATGCCATACAGGTCTGATGGTCACTTGGTGCCGAAGTATACAACAGATAACAATTTTCATCTATCCAGAGAATGCACCCACAAGCACTGAATTAGTAATGTCAGATGTGACCCCCGACAAATTAAGAAAATCATTTGGAAGAAGAACCTCGCCAATTTGCCCCGATGAAATTATAGATGCTGTCAAAATTATTAGAGGGAATCTTACCTTCCTTAGTCTAGTCTGCTTGCCGACATAAGGAAATTTGGCATAGATAAAAGAATCCTCTTTACTTAAGACTACCAGCTAATCAGCTTGTGCTCGATATTTACACTGACTGCTCCAAAATGGGTGAAGATGTGGATGCCACATTCATAGTTTACTCTGATCTAGGCCAGGAACTCACAAATGTGTGCTTTAAATTAGGTCCACATTATATATGCTTGTTCCATATTAGGCATAGACAGAACAAGAGAGAGACAGTATACTACCATGTATGTCTGAACAGTAGAGTAGCTTTACACAGGATAGCGAAGTTAGATAGCTATATAAAACTTGTGCATCTCATACATCACATTCTCTGGCACTTAGAAGAGTAGATTTTCAATGCACCCCCAGGTCATTCTCTGACAAGACAGCAAGAACCATGCCACTACTAATAGGCTTTACTGCTTGAAATTGCCATGACTATTGTCTGCATAAGTTTGGCCTCGGGGATGATCTGCACTGAGTACAAGCTACACAAGGAACAAACTCCACTTAATTTTCCATTGCAATAGATGTACCAACACTGCAGGAAGGGCCTGGTTGCCCAGATGATGCATAATTTCTGGTTTGGACACAACAGTTTGAAACTAATCTTATCTATCGTGTAATTGTTAACCCCTTGGGTTCAGGTTTTGTCTCCAGAGAAAATGGAAATGAACATGAACAACAACTAAAACATTTTTTTTTTTTTTTTTGCTCTTTTGTTAATTTATGCATTTACAGTTTGGTGTGGGCTGTTGTCATAACGAATCAGGTAGTGGCTCAGGTGGACGGAGCAGCCATGTTTTCGGCAGATCCAAAGAAACCCATAGGAGGAAACATCATAGCCCATGCTTCCACCACCAGGTTGGAGAGATTCTTCAGCAATGATTTCCATCAACAAAAGGACCCACAAATGTTTGTTTGTATTTTTACAGACTGTACCTGAGAAAAGGCAGAGGAGAAATACGAATATGCAAGATCTACGACTCCCCTGTCTGCCCGAGGCAGAGGCCATGTTTGCCATCAATGCTGACGTTGTGGGTGATGCGAAAGACTGATGAGATGTTTTATTCATACATAATTTAAAAATTCTTCAAATTATGAAAGAGAATTTCTATTTCTAGATCTAATCATCAGAAAAATAAGATATACTTTCAGGCTCTGACTATAAAATTTGTATTATTTCTCCACAAAGAATAAATGACATTTGTTTTGTAAATTGTCTGATGGAATCTTCCTGTGTACACATGTTTCAATTAGTCCTTTTGCTTAATTCTAAATAATGTTGACATGTCAGAACATTATTTAGAATTACACACTGTGTGACACTTCCATTATATTTGTCTTCCCTTCTGCATGGTAGAGTATAAGGTCAAATCTTAGAATCAAGCAGAAAACCCTAAAGTTAAAGAATGCCTCCACTTTTGTCTCATTTTGTTTAAATATCAATTAGTGAGGCAAGATTTTTAGTCACATTTCTCCCATATGGCACTATGTTCAAATCCATCATTTTATTTTATCTATTGATAATTTGGCAGAATATATTAGTATTATAAAATATCGTTGGTGCACAAGAATAGTGACACAACTCAAAAAAATAGATCTTCCAGAACAGCCATTTAAAAGTTTCTTGTTTCCTGCATCGAAAGTTTCTTGTTTCCTTGCTTTGTCATGATCTTGGATTTTTAAAATTTTCAAATCTTTTGTGGAAATAAATATTAGTGTTTGCTATACATTTCTACAATAAACTCGAAATTGGAAATTTTTGAGTTGTGTCACTATTCTTGTGCACCAGCGATATGTAGTTTTTTGCATCACTAAGTTAGAAATATACTGAATTATCCACAATAATAATACATTAGTCAGTCTAGAAATAGTTAATGGGATATGTACGAGTATAGGCCCAAAATTGACCATGATTAATATACATAATATTTTTTGCTTGATTTATCTAATACTTTTATTATCTATTTTTTCCCCTGCTTCTATGGTATTACAATAATGAAGTAATTGATCTTCCTAACAACCGGAATATAAGCATTTTTTTAAAAAAAGTAAAAATAGAAAAATAATTCACTTCAAGTCAGCTATCCCCTTAATATTGGTATCTTCTTTAAACATAATAATTCATGAAATATAACTAATAGGTTTTATTTTTTCATATTTCTCTATTGGTATTATAAATAGACAAAATATAATGAATTTAGCACCATCTGGGACAAATATATTAAAAGAAATAGCGATAACTGGCAATTATCCAAAAAAGATTGAAGGCAGAGAAATTGAACCAATACAAAAACACTACAAATGTGACTGACTAAGGACGTCAATACAAGACCATGACTTTTGAAATGCATTTCATCAAATAGAAGATAGAAAGGCAGATTGATATATGGGAAATTGATATATTTATTCATATTTTCTGTGGGCTGTGGGCAACCCACAGCCCACAGAAAATATGAATAAATATATCAATTTCCCAGCTTAAGGCAAGAATTTTTGGTCCTTAGGCTGTGTACACATTAGGCGTTTTTAAACACACGTTTTAGAGAACCAAGAGTTCTGCATAGGCATGCATACATACTCAAACGCGTGTTTTCAGCCGAGCACTTTGGGATATATGTGCTGCCATGTTGTTGTACATTCGATTGCGCGCTTTCGGGTAGAGTGGGCATACGTTGGCCGAAATGGACAACGATCATTTTGATACTGGTCTATTAATTGATGAAATCTAAAAGAGACCAACCACCGTCAAATGATTTTATAGATATTTTAAAAGAATTAAAGAACTTGGGTTCATTTTGTCTTAGTTTTAGATACGTCACAAACATTCCCCATGCGTCAGTCTATCTCGTAATATTGGGTGCACCCAAAATTCTCTTTGCCTCTGCCATTGTCTTTTATAGCGACAATGGAGGCGCACACAATCAACGCCATGTCCATTTCCAAACTTAGCCAGTTCGTATGCTCCACTAAACGGTCGTCGAACGCCGAGCTAACGCGCGTTTAAAAACGCCTAGTGTGTACATAGCCTTAGACACATGGATCAATTAGTTAATAGAATCTTTAAACAAAATTGCTGCAAGTTATAAAGAATTTACGATGTTGGAAAATTTACAAGAAAACAAAGTACTCATAATGGACAATGAGACTGACAAAATGAAAATCTTTTACATTCAGTGGACCCAAATGACGCAACAGTTAAATTTATGATCTGGGATACATTTCAGAAAGTACACTTAACTCAAAGAATGTTTGAAAAAATGGCTAGTTCAAAATTGTCTTTGTCTTCTGGCCTGATATGACAAGTACACTATGTAAAAATATGCAGTAACTACTGTACTTTCAGGCAAATAATATCAAAGTTAATCTGCCCAAACAGTGGCAGCCAGAGGAATAATTTGATTTCAATATGTTTGGAAAAACAAGGAGAAAGTGGCACTAGGGTTGGAAATTTGTGTGACAAAAACTGTTAACGAATTTTTCAAAGTATTCTTTTATGCTGGAGTGTGGAGTGCTAACTAATTTGCATAAACATAGTATGAGACTTGTTCTAATCATTACATTCTAATCTTACATATCATTGAAATGTCAAATTCAGAAAAATTTCATTATTAATTAACAAGTATTTAAACAATGTATGTGATGGAAATCTTTGCCTTATCCAAAAAAATTGCAAGCTTCTTATTTGCAAGTTACACCATCTTAGATTGAATTCAACTAAATTTTTGTAGCATTTGTAGGAATGCAAATAAAAGAATATCCAAGCAGGTAGTGACGTTCTACTTTCTGCAGCAGAGGACTTTAATTTGGCCACAAAATTATTCCATTTGATAACTTGTATATCGGCCATGTCACGAAATCTCAATATACAAACTAAACCACTCTCTCTCCAACGAATTCCATTTCATTATAAATTCATTCTGATTTGTCACCAGCAGATGAGCCCGGCATTTCCCGGACAAAAAACAACAACAAAGATTAAGATTAGAAGTACAAAATAATGTAATATTCTGGTAGCCCTAGTGGGCATTCTAGCAGCAGCGGCGTCATTCCATGGTATAAATAATAAATTCCTATTACAAATAAAAATAATAATATACTGAATTTATTGTTAATTTAAATAATAGCTAGGGCACCCCTAGTGGCCATTTTTGACATACCATGATACGCCCAGTTTTTCACTTTTATATAGTTAGATTGTTAAAGTTCAAATTTGTCAACAAAGATTTTGATTTTTATGTCAGGTGGTCCAACAAAAATCTGATACTTGTTGGCAACAAATCGACCTTTTAAATTACAAAATTGATCACTGTGCATCCAAGCGAAGAAACAGTGGTAGAACTCGAAAGGATTTTTCCATTTAAATATTATCAAATTATTTCCAGAAACTTTTTGCCCACAAATTGATTATATCTTGAGACTTACGGTTACTCTAAATATGGCAGTTGGTGGGAGTCAGGCTGTCGAATTGCTCACCAATTTTTGCATTGGCATTTCCTAGAACAGGGATTGGCAACCCACAGCCCACAGAAAATATGAATAAATATATCAATTTCCCAGCTTAAGGAAGTATGCAGAAATGTTATTTTCTACAACTTATGTATGTGAATTAATTTTTACTAAATTCAATGTGGAAAAACTAAAAAAAACCGGCTAACAGACAAAAAAAAAAAAAATTTAAAGCTATCAGTGACTAATATTTAACCAAATATTTCTGATACATTATGTTTACATCAGTTCCAGAAACTAAATTAAGTATACCTATGCTAATTTATAATTATATATAAATAAATAATTGTGATTTACTGACTTTTTTCCCCCCTCTTTTCTCTTGTATGCGGCCCACGGCAATTCAAAAGTTTTGAAATGTGGCCCTTACATAGAAAAAGGTTGCCCATCCCTGTCCTACAATAATTTTAATAGTTTTTACATCCTCTAAGACAGTGGTGTACAAATTTTACAATAAAAAAGCTCTTAAATTGCATCGTTTAGGCTTTATAAACAAAAAATAGGCCGTGAAAATTCGCACAATGAACAATTAACGTACTTATCAGGACGATGAATTTTTTATTTAACATAAGTATTCCAAACAAAAATGCACGTATTCAGAATGATGCAAACACAAAGGTTGACAAACAATTATCTTTACATTTTTTTATTCTCTCTGTTTCTCATAGTTAGCTTCATAATATATTACAAGCATTTTTTCCAAATTTTCAATAGAAAAGTTGCAACGTTTGTCACTGAGAATTAATTTATATGCAGAGAAAGAGCATATAATCCGTCATCTTCAGTAGATGTGTTCCACATCTACTGAAGATGACGGATTATATGCTACGGACAATATTTCAACCTTGGAAGAAGATGAACTGGAAATTTACTTTCAGTTTTTCTCTTCTTTCCTGCCAAAATATCAGCCACAATAAACAAGCACTTTAACCCAAGTCTCTTTTGAAGCACTGCTTTCAACTCTTTCTTTACTTTTTTTTGCAGCAGTTCCTGGTTTGCTCTATTGAGGAGATCAATTTGTTCATATATAGGTTTCCCACTATTTTCAAGAGCAGTAATAGTATCTGCAATGAATATGAAATAACACTTGATGTACAGTACAGTACATCAACTTGTTCTGAACATAAATGTCATTCAAAATTTTCTTGGCTTTAGTTACACAAACTGCATTGTCCGCTAAAGTAACCAGAAGTTTTTTGATATCGAAGAAATCTTCACTGTAGTAGTTAGTACAAAATCTTAGCCATATGCTAAAGATAAAATAGGCATTTGCCTAAAATCCGCTGTCTAAAAATGACAAATAAAACATCTCTAACGCTATATTTGTTAAATAAAACAATTTATTTTAAAATATTTCATATAGTTTTAATTTTATTAATATAAAATTGCATCACGGGGTGTAATTTATTTCCATTATTATTGCATTCTAATTTTTTCAGCTTGGGATATGCACTGGGACTTAAACACTGTATAAGTAATAAATAATAATAATAAAAAATGAATTTGTCTGATTGCATTTTCAAAAATGAAACTTAAGAAGTTTAATTTAAGAATTAAAGTAAAGCTTTGCGGAAAATGAAACGAAAAATTAATAAAAACTTTCTAAAAATATGAAAACAGACTAAACTTTGTGTTTTAGGCAAAAATAGACAGCAACCTCAAAATAAGCATTTTTAGGCATTATAAAATACCATTGTTTCGGTCTAAATGTTCATACAAAATCTTAACCATGTATATGCCAAAGAAAAAAATAGGCATTTGCCTAAAATCCGCTGTCTACTCATAAGGGTGTGAAAAAAGAAAAGAAATACTTTACAAAGAAAATCTATTTATTATTACTAAGTTATTTTTGTTTACTTAAGTGTAAAACCACATAAATATTTATCTATAGAAATTGAACTTCTCTTGCCTCTATGTTTGCGAAATCTGCTATCAATTTTCATGTATCCAAGCAATGTAAGGTTTCATGTTCAATTGAAAATATAGCTAAATTGTTGCTAGTGCGTTAGTTTTTTTTATAATTTTAACTTTGAAAAGGACCCTTCGCCAAATGCAACTGAAACCGGCAATGTAAGTAATATTCTTAGTGCTATTGCTGTGTTCGGAAATGTTGAAGTTAAGTCATTTGTAAAAAGATATTGTAATAAGGTTTGAGGATCATTAGACTGGTTTTCTGGAAAATGCAACTTTAAAGTGTTGATTTCATTAAAGCAACTACTTTCTTCAAATACGGCCTTACAGCTGAAGAAAATGCCTTTAACGGATGCAGGCCCCGATCTGTTCTGTGACATATCCACGAACAAAATTCGCCCATATATCCCGATTAAATTCCGTAGGCAAGTCTTCAACGCCACACACAATCTGGCTCATCCCGGGATAAGAGCTACCACCTCTTATCCCGGGATAAGAGGTGGTAGCTCTAAAAAATTAATAACTTAATAGCTCTTAAATTAATAACTAGTCGTTTTGTTTGGCCTTCAATCAGAAAGGACTCACGTATGTAGGCCAAAACCTGCATACCATGCCAACGAGCGAAAATTCTTAGGCACATGTGGAGCCCTGTTCAAAATCTTCAGGCCCCTGACGCCCGTTTCGAACACGTGCATATGGATATTGTAGGTCCCCTTCCACCTTCGCAAGGTAACATATATTGCCTCACACTTATTGACAGGTCACCCGTTGGGTGGAGGCTTTCCCGATGGCCGACTGTACGGCAGAGACTGTAGCAAAGGTTTTTTACGGTCAATGGGTCGCGCGTTACGGTGTACCTAAGACGGTCACTACTGATCAGGGTAGACAATTCGAATCGCACCTGTTCCGAGCTTTGACCAAATTATTGGGCAGCAACCACATACACACGACAGCCTTTCACCCAGCGGCCAACGGCCTGGTGGAGAACATCCACCGCAGACTTAAATCGGCTCTCAAGGCTTGCTTGACCGACCGCTGGACAGAGGTCCTACCGTCAGTGCTGCTAAGGATGCGAACCGCCTTTAAAGAAGACATCAAGGCAACAACCGCCAAACTCGTCTATGGGACAACCTTACGATTACCCGGTGAATTCCTCGCCCCTACATCGACAGACTCAAACGCAGCAGTTTTCGTCCAGCAGCTCAAAGAGCAAATGCATCAACTGACACCAATTCCAACGAGATGTCACGGGACAAAGAAAATATTCGTCCCCCAGGACCTACGGAGCTGCACCCACATTTTCGTGCGGCACGACGCAGTACGGCCACCTCTGTACCCGCCGTACGACGGACCATTTCCCATACTGCAGCATGCAGACAAATTTTTCAAAGTCCGCGTACGGCAAAAAGAGACAGTTATCTCCATAGACAGACTTAAACCAGCTTATTGTCTGGCGGAACACCTTTCACCAAGCGAGCAACCACCAACAGACGACAAACAAGAGACAGACACGGGACAAGTTCCCCGTTCAACAGAAGTACAAGATCCTAAACCATCGAGCACCACGCACTCGAAGCAAGAAGCCGAAACCAAAACCACGACGCGCTCCGGAAGACGCGTCCGTTTCCCGGCACGTTTTCTCTAGCCTCACGATCGTTTACACTAGGAAGGGGGTACTGATGCGGTCGGCAACACTGCGCCTGACCACCGTCCCCAACCCGTGTGACGTCAGAGGTCGAGGTTGACACTTTTTTTCGGTCGACGTCTTCAGGTTCGGACGTTCGTCTCGTCCTCTCCAACCCTTGTCTACATGATCGGCGTTGTTCTAACCATCTGTACATAGAGTTGTAATTATCGGAAATAAACTAGTGAAAACGACATTAGGATCCTTCCTTCAATCCTAGAATATCTAACTCGACTCCACGACAATTCCGTTCATGGATGAAATCGGATTGAGCGATCTAACCGATTTCGACTATTTAGAGGAATCAGTAACGGTCCCCACAGTACGAATTGCGAACGGCAGTATAATTTAAAATATATTATATAAGATTTACCGTTAATAATAATAATAATAAATATTTAAAAACATTTTCTAAATATAATTCTTTAAAAATAATAATTATAAATTTTAATCAAGAGGGGGCGCTTTATCGATGACGTCAATCGAAGCGGGCAAGACGAAAACTGCCGAAGGTTCGTTTTCCACGACATATTTTATTTAATTTATCGATTGCGTAAAGTAAGTAATGCTTAATAACGGATTAGATATTACTTTAAAGTCATTGACTTGTCTAAAGGATGGACTTTTACCGTAATTTCTATCAAAGAGCCTACACCAATACTCGTGTTCTATAATAATGGGTACGTTCGTAAAGTCGAATGAGTTAAACGAGAATGACGTCATCGTTATTCTTATTTCGTTAGACTTTTCGAACGATTCGTTTAGAACTAAATGGCTATTTCTAAAATCGAAGATACAAATGTTGCTAGTACAGCCTTATCCGAAATATTGCTTCGGGTGGACAGTTACTTCAATCATTTCATCTTTTAATTCACAATTTAAACAACTCGAGTAGATTTAGAAACATCGATATCGTCGGGCGTCATTTTCTTAACGAAGTAAACTAACTCAAAGAGAAACAAAACACCTTTTTTGCCGAGAAATAAATATAATTCTAAAAAACAACCGGGTTAGACTGAAGCAAAAGGTATCCAGCTAAAATAAGGTCTTAAAGTTAATATTAACGAATAAATATAGATATATCTAGATGTAATTTGACACGCTGAATCGATTGGTATTAAAAAAATTTACTTACGATCAACCGTTTAAAAGTTACGAACGATTTTTTATTTCCGGCTATTTGCTTCGTTTAAGAATAACTTTATTAAGAAATACGCAGGCACTCGTCAATATTAACAAAACTAATTACTTTAATTCACCATAATACATTCCATCTACGAGAGAAAGCGACATTAAAAATGCTAAAATGGTGTCGTTAGCCAGCGAACATAACCACGACCATGTAACCACGACAAGGGTGTAGGACAACTGACGCAGGGAAATTTTCCCTCGCTGGTGGAGAATGTGTTGAGCGTGACGTCACTTCCACAATTCCCTACACACACGTGTGCAGTAACAGAAATAGTTAACACGATAATATAATTATTATATATTATTTAAAACAAAAGTAAAAATTTAATAACAAATTTAGGTTTCCTCATGTTACTTTGTAATTACTAAATTACTTTGTAATTTGTAACAACATTAAACGTCTTTAGTTCTTTATTCCAAGATGTTGTCTGTTATGCAAAAGGTATCCAGCTATAATTGCATTTTATAAGCATTCTTTCCTCGCCGCTTCACATCTAGGGGTTTATACAGTATACATATACTACACACTCGTCATTAGAGCCTTCCTACACCCATTTTATATCACTTATACAGCGACGGATGCTTTTACCCTAGATGCTGGCTGCTCTTTACTCNGACGTCACTTCCACAATTCCCTACACACACGTGTGCAGTAACAGAAATAGTTAACACGATAATATAATTATTATATATTATTTAAAACAAAAGTAAAAATTTAATAACAAATTTAGGTTTCCTCATGTTACTTTGTAATTACTAAATTACTTTGTAATTTGTAACAACATTAAACGTCTTTAGTTCTTTATTCCAAGATGTTGTCTGTTATGCAAAAGGTATCCAGCTATAATTGCATTTTATAAGCATTCTTTCCTCGCCGCTTCACATCTAGGGGTTTATACAGTATACATATACTACACACTCGTCATTAGAGCCTTCCTACACCCATTTTATATCACTTATACAGCGACGGATGCTTTTACCCTAGATGCTGGCTGCTCTTATATGCAAGTAGTATATCTGAAGTACAGAGCTCCCAAAAGGAGCTCTGTACTTCAGATATACTAATAATATCAATATATTCTATATAATAATACTAATATATTATAAAAATAGCAGATTGTCATTGGCAACGGCAAACGAGTGGAAACATCATTTGCACTTGTTTGCAGAAAGTCCGTTGCTCGAGTCACGTAACTGCCAAACAGAAAGTCTGTTGTTCGCAGCGTCCATTATTCGAGGCACCACTGTAATTATGTCGTCAATGTATTTTTTATAGAATTTTATACCTGTATAAATAATAATAATGATTTTCTCATCTATGTATATCATGACTAGTTCTGCCGATTTTGGTCCTATAACGGACCCCATGCTAATTCCTGTTTGCTATGTATAAAATTTTTCGTTTTTGATGAAATAATTACAGTAGAGTATCGATTATCCAAATACCGATAAACTGAAATATCGGTTAACCAAAAGTATTCCAGTCGGCAAATTCAAATTTTTGCTAGTGCTGTGGCGTTGCATCACTCTCCCCCGCCCTGCCAACCCAAACTGTAGGCCTACTTTAATATACTACTTTATGTAATGTATGTATTTGTAAGACGTGATACAAATTATATACAGTAACAGTTTTGTTTAATATATTTTTTGTAAATGATCAGTTATCCAAACAACCACAGTCCTGAATTGTTTTGGTACTTGATGCTCTACTTCTGTCGGCCAATTCTATTAGATCTGTTTCTTCTTTCGGTACTTCAGTTTTTCTTAATATATCTTCTATTAGTTCCCACTACTATGTTTAAACTGGCTATTTTATAATATTTATTTATTTATCAAAAGGTTTATTAAGTTTTATTTATAAAAATTTAGGGAAATGGTATTAATGCCTCGGATATTAAGAAATTAGAAACAGCTGGCTTTCATACTGTAGAAGCGGTTGCATTTGCACCAAAAAAGCAACTGATTAGCATAAAGGGAATCAGCGAAGTAAAGGCAAATAAAATATTGGTATGTGGTTTGCTCATCGTCGTCATTTAAACAAATAACTGTCTTTTATAATATATTTTGATCATTCTTAGATGGAGGCCATGAAAATGGTTCCGATGGGATTTACGACAGCCACAGAATTTCATCAGAAAAGATCAGAAATTATTCAAATCACTACAGGATCTAAAGAATTAGATAAGTTATTAGAAGGTAATACTAAAATTTATTTGTGTTCTTAATGAATTTCTTTAATTAAATTAGTGACTTGAAATTTTATATGCAATCTTTTTGATATAGTATACAATGACACTTCACACCAACAAAGTTATTCTATGATTATAACATATATGATATATGATCCTGTAATGCCACAACACTTACGTGTTGTGGCGTTACAGGAGTGGAGTCTTGGAGAATGAACTCGTCCAACTTTAGAAAATGAACTCGTCCACTAGCACTTTCAGTAGTATATAACTACCGTCTTCAGGCGGTCTATCGGATACAACAGCTTGTGATTTTTGAACACTTATCCGACGGTTTCACAAATTTCGGATATTCGAAATTTTAGAACAATATTTCCGTCGAATTAACTGATTTTTCGTTTTTGAATGTTATTTAAAACTCGTTTTTTGCATCATAGCACGTGGAACGAAAACAGTTTTTCTTAAGCATGGTTTAGGAAGAATAAGGCCGTAAAAGAGCCCAGAACATGCATTAAGTATAAGTTATGTCAAAAGGACATCCAAGTAGCAAAGACTTTAACATCGTTCTGAGCTCTTTTACAGCCTTATTCTTCCTAAACCATGCTTAAGAAAAACTGTTTTCATTCCACGTGCTATGATGCAAAAAACGATTTTTAAATAACATTCGAAAACAAAAAATCAGTTAATTCGACGGAAATATTGTTCGAAAATTTCGAATATCCGAAATTTGTGAAACCGTTGGATAAGTGTTCGAAAATCACAAGCTGTTGTATCCGATAGACCACCTGAAGACGGTAGTTATATACTACTGAAAGTGCTAGCGGACGAGTTCATTTTCTAAAGTTGGACGAGATCATTCTCCAAGACTCCACTCCTGTAACGCCACAACACGTAAGTGTTATAATCATAGAATCTTTTTGAATATGTGGCATTGAAACTGGTTCCATAACAGAAATATTTGGTGAATTTCGGACAGGAAAAACTCAATTGTGTCACACACTTGCGGTTACTTGTCAGGTAAGTTTTGTGATCCTTTAAAATAACATAAATTTTTGCATTTTTTTAGTTATTTGTTCCCAGTCTATTAACTATTTCACTGTCACTTGATATTTCATCACCTTAGTGTTGTGCAAAAAATAAGCACTTGACAATATATCAACAACAACAAATATCTTTAATTTTAATGAAAAATTTTTATCTTAGATTTTTAATTAATTTAAATCTTACTGTTTGTAAGATATATACATTAATACCCCAAACTTACGCAATAGGTGGGACCGAGCGATAACAGCATAAGTCAAATTTGCTAAGTCGGGGTATAATTTCATAATTTTTGTAAAATCTAAGTCGGGTGTATGTAAGCTAATAAATGTTCTCGTTAATCTTATCTTGTGTTTTGAATCAAAAGACGAAATAAGATTAATGAGTTCACGGTTACAAGAAATCACAACATACAGTCTTTCAAGTCTCCGTAGATATAACAAACACAGAAATAAATAACACAAAATAAATTGTAGCTATGTGTCAATTCCACACGACATGTCCGAACATGTAAGCTGAACAATAGTGTGGGGGGAGTGAGTAATCAAGAGTTGCGTGGCGCACTCAAAAAGACAAATCAACGAGATTTGAAAATCGCGTAACTCCATGTTTGTGTAAGTCGGAGAAGCATAAGTCGAGGTATTACTGTATATATATAACTGAAATGCTGAAATCGTGTGACGACACAGTGTTTGTGGGAGATATGCTAGTCAAAGGCTTGAGCAGAGCAGATGCACGAGATCGTTATCAGCTCTCAATGGTTATTTTTTTTATCTCACTGCTAATTCTAATATGTTGTGGAAAAAAAAAAAAAAACAAATAACTCTTGCTTTGCTATGGAAAAAAGGTGATGAATATATATATAAATAAATATATATATACAGTGGATGATCGGTTAACAATCATAATCCATTCCATGACTTTGTTCGTTAACCGATTATCGATTTACCATAGGTTTTTATGGGAATTTTATTAATTCATACCGGAGACGCCAAAAAATAAAAAATATAAAATATATATACTTTTTTACTACGTTAATTTATATGTAATAGTAAAAATACATATACAGTTTAACCCGATTATAACGACATCGGATGTAACGACAACCCTAATATAATGTCAAATTTTTATCGGTCCCACGATTTTATAATACTATACTAGATAATGTTAAAAAAACCCACTTATAACGACATGCTTTAACGTCATATTTGAAGCACTCTTAAATTTACAAAATTAAATTATAAATTTTATTTATCAAAGAAAATATTACGTCTTCAGTCCTAGGGTCAGAGTCCGCTTCCTAGAACGATTGTGGGTGGTACTGTCACCACCTGATTCGGTGGGGTGAGGTGTGCCACCCCTTTAAACAACGTGACAGTGGGTTAGTCTGCTTAGCTCTCATACTCGTGTTGTAGTTTAGCATCAAATCAGGTAAAATGGCTAGCTTAAAAAGGAAAGCGTTAACGTTAGNTAAGGGTGGTACTGTCACCACCTGATTCGGTGGGGTGAGGTGTGCCACCCCTTTAAACAACGTGACAGTGGGTTAGTCTGCTTAGCTCTCATACTCGTGTTGTAGTTTAGCATCAAATCAGGTAAAATGGCTAGCTTAAAAAGGAAAGCGTAAACGTTAGGCTGCAAAGTAGAAATAATTAAAGCAGTTGAAAGTGGAAGAAAAAAGGCAGATGTATGCAGAGACTTTGGTTTAACAAATTCTACAGGTCTCGTAAAACTTCATCGGAAATAATGAACAAAATGTACGACTTAGAAAATGACATTGATAAACAATTTTTAGGTGAAAAATGCCTACAATCTAAAATAAATGACTTTTTTTAAGTGAATATTTTTATTGTTTCTTTTTAATTGATATACATTAATTTAACCTAAAAGTGAAAGATATTGGACTTCATGTCCATTGATAGATAAACAAGAAACAAGAAAATTATCATCCAGGTGTTAACGCCTGGATGATAATTTTATCGTTTCTTGCTTAATTTAACTTTTTGTTGCCTTTTGATTCGATGATATTCTCAAAACCGAAAGTGCCGCCTTTATTGAAACTTGACAAATAAAAATTTGTTATAAAAAATAATTTTTGAAATTTTTTATATCATCGTTGTAAATTTAGACATAATGTAAATAAAGTTGATTTAAATATTTAGTTTGCACTTTTATACATCGATATTAAATTAGATGAATTTTATAATAGATTCTTAAACAGACTTGATACTTTTATGTGACTGAAATCATGACCCCGCAGATAACGGCACTCGGTTATAACGTCAAAAAATTGCCGGTCCCATGGATGATGTTATAAGCAGGTTAAACTGTATATGCAGTATTGCATTTTTATTAGACATGTTTTTTCCGTTTGTGGGGGTTAAAGAATCTGTCCAATGTCGATTGCTTTTCTCTTTTCTTCAGGATTTTTCAGAAGTAATGAATAGTATTGCAATTGTAGCAATCCCCAACCCCATTAATCTTATTCTGGTTTGGATGCCACTTGGATGATCGTTGTTCTGACATCCCTGGAGTTTTGTCGTCAGATCAATTTCAGGTTCCATTATGGGCTCTAAAATGCTCTTTATTTCTCAGATGTGATTTTCATTACTCCATCAGCAGCTTGAGACTTCTTGATATATCTTTCATAGCTAAGATTGTGCCTACTATAGATCTGTTGAAGCCATACTGCCTAGTAACATCAGACATATTGTGCCACTTTCTACCTTGGCTCTTATTATCTCTTACTTGGTTTTTATGGTGAGCACAGTTCTTGACACTCCTTTTTTTATGCTCCATAATATTATCAGTTTCTTTTTTAAATAAAAAGTTCAGAGAACAGAAATCAACTAGCCCACAAAAAATTATTTAAATGCAAGGTACGGATGAAATTCAAAATTTGGTATTAAAAGGTTAACGAATATCTGATGAGACATCTTTCACATTTTGTAAATAAACCCCGACGCAAAACTTAACAAGTACCTGTCTGACAGTCTCGGAAGAGTATAAAAAATTATTTGTTAGAAAGGTAAAAAAAAAAAAGCTGGAATTACAGGGGACAGTTTCAAAATTCGGAGGGATACTATCCGATCGGTATCGGGTTGAGTGTCCTTGCTGATGTGTCCGGCGCTCCGAAAGGTTTCGAATTGTTACCTGAAGACAAGAGAAAATCAATCGGTATTCGTTATTTTCCGTTGCTTCTTTTTATGTTTGTTCAGTAAAGTAGTCGTTATCCGATCATAAAAATCTTTCACGATAGTGTTCCGTTATCTGATTTGTTTGCTATCTGAACTGTTTGTTAACTGATCACCCACTGTATATTATATATATATATAATATTATATTATATTATATATAAATACATATATTTATATATAACTATACAAAATGTTATATATATATATAAAATAACTTTTGTATAGTTTTGTTTATTTGTGATTTATTTATTTATTTAAAACAAAAAAAAACATGCACAAAGTTTTTTTTCGTTATTTTTTTAATATTATTTTATTTTTTGTTATACTTCTGTTTGTTGCTAAATTGGCAAGTTGTACATTTATATTTGTAATTTATATAATATATTTTATAATTATTTCAAACAAAGAAAACTTGCAATCTTTTGTTTTATTATTAGTATTTGATTGTTTATTTTTTTTTTCTAGTTTTGTTTTGCTGTTCCATTATACTTTTGTTTACTGTTATGTCCAGTAAATCCTACATAAATATTTATTATTTATATAATTTATGGTATTGTTTATAAATAAATAAAACAATACACAATACAATAAATTATATAAATAATATATATATATGTATATAGCAGGGATGCACAACCTTTTCTGAAGAAGGGCCAAATTAGGATTAAGTTTACTGACTGGGGGCCGGACCTCCAAGTGATTAATGCGATGTCTGATGCAATTTGCGAGATTCTTTGTTGTATCGTCATGTGGTTAAGACTGATTGTTTGAAAACACTGTCTTCTCAGGACACATCTCACTTGCAATGATAAGACACTTTCTTATCATATAGCCATCTGTGAAAGGTTTCCCATTCTTGGCTATTAAAGCAGATATTTCTAGGCTGGCTTCAACAGCCGCATCCAATTCTCCAGATTGTTTCTTGAACACATTTTGTTGGCTGATTAGTGATCGTCATAACGATTCGATTTTCCGTTTGCGTTCCGTACCTTGCAGAAGGAAATCCTTGTGTTGGCTTTCATGATGTCGCTTCAGGTTGAATTCTTTTGGCACTGCTATTGTTCCATTGCACAAAAGGCAAATAATGCTGTTGTTCTGTTGCACAAAACAGTACTTGTTAGTCCACACTTCCACTTCTTGAAACTGATGATTCTCGCGATTGACCTTGCGTTTAATGCCCGGCGCCATACTGTTCACTCTGCAAAACAATGTCTCATTGTGCCGAAAATTCTGAGGCCCGCAACAAATCATGTTTGAGATAAGGCAAGCTAGACTACCACGTGCTTTGTTCTGTATCCACTCTGACCAAAGACTAAAGAGGCGGGGACAGAAGACTATTACGCACACGTGGCCAGGCAGGTCTTAATTCGTTCGACCCCTGTCCGGGCGTCTCCACCATTTCTCAGAATTTGTGAGTCAGATCGTCAACATGCCAGGTGCAGGACACTAATCCATCATAAATGTGGTTACCATTCTTACCTAAATTATATTTATGGCCCGTCAGTTTTACCCCCGTGTTCAGAAATGAATCAAAAGTGATTAACACAGTGCAGTGGAAAATCTGAATATTTTAAATATAATTATTAAAATTGCGATATCTCGTTTCAAATTGGCGCTAGAATCAATCTGTTTTTTTTTTTTTTTCTGTCCTAAATATATCACAGTTTACGACTGTTAAATTTCAAATAAAATAAAAATTAAAAATAATAATTTAATTTTAAATTTACGAAAAAAAGAATGTAAAAATAAAAGTAAATAAAAAGTTCCAATTAATTTACTACT